TGTATAGAGCCAAAGATGTTAGAATTATGTCGATGTCCCAATATTTCTGGACCTGACTGTAAATTAAAGATAAATATTGATGATGAAGGATTTAAGGATTTGAAGGATTCCTTAGAATCAACAGTGAAATGTATACAACAGTACAGTTCAATATCAGGATGAGAATCAAATGATAAATGGAACCTATCTGAAGAGGAAAAACATCTGAAGTAAACAACAGGGTTTAATGCCAGTGTTAAACCAGTCAAGTACTTGGAAGTTTACTTAATTAGAATCAAATATTTATTCAGAAATATTTACCAATCTGGAAAAATATAATGGCTGATATTCTAAGATGGAGAAAGCTAAGCTCATCTTGGTTAGAAAGAATATTGATAGTAAAACAAAGATCTTACAAAGGATTACATTTTTTATTCCAAATTATTCCAAATAATATTGAAGAAAAGATATTGAATGATGGCAAAGACAAATAATTAGCTTCATGTGCTCAAGTGAAAGACCAAGGATCGAACTCGGGATTCTGAAAGATGCAATATTTAGTTTATTTGATTTGATATGGCCACCCACTCCAAAAGACTCTGGGTGGCTTACAAAATCCACAAAAAAATAGTAAAACAATTAAAACACATATAAACAGGCAGCCCTGACTAAAACAACTAGAATAATACACATTTTAGACAGTACAAAATAAAAATACAGTATGACAGGCCCCACCAATAGATCACACCCACATTAACCCCAGTCCTGGGAACAGAGTCAGGGCTTTCTGGAACCCCAGGAGAGTGAGTATCTCTGTAGGGGTGCTGTTCCAAAGGGTGGAGGCTGTGACAAAGGAAGCACGCTTCCTTGGTCCCACAACATGGCAGCATTTAATGGAAATGACCTGTAGCACACCCACTGTGCCTGAATGTACCTGAAGGGCAGAAACAGTAGGAGGTAGGCAGTTCCTCAGATGACCAGGCCCTGTGCCGTGAAGGGCTTTAGGGGTAAGAACCAGCACCTGAAAGCCTACTGGCAGAAGAACAAGGTGTACTGGCTGTGCTAAATTTTAAGATATACTCTCAAGCTAGTTGTTTGATCTGGATCACAAATTGTATTATATCACCATATGGTTGGACTACTATGAAAGGAGCAGGACTCTCAGAAGGTTTACATAAATATTTGTGGTCTGATATAAGTAGAATTGTTTAGTGCATAAAAAACCCATGCAATTATAAATAGCCTATTAAAAATATGGGGAAAGTATAAAAGAAGCAGCAGCCCAGGTTTATCTCTTGTTGGTTCAATATTATTTATTTTCACAAAGGCAAACATTAAAAAATTGGAACAGACTGCAAGATTTAACCTTTACTTAAAAAAAAAAAAAAAAAACTCTTTTGAGGCTCTCTCCCTAGAATGGTCAGGAAAGCCTCATTGGTTTCAGTATCTTTAAATAAGCATAAATAAATATAAATAAATATAGTTGGGATATAAATTTGATAAATAACAAGATTTGCTTATAATATAAATAAATAGATAAAGAGCCAGTTTGGTCTTGTGGTAAAGGCATCAGGCTAGAAACCAGGAGACTGTGAGTTCTAGTCCTGCCTCAAGCATGAAAGCCAGCTGGGTGACTTTGGACCAGTCACTCTCTCTCAGCCCAACCCACCTCACACGGTTGTTGTGGGAAAATAGGAGGAGGAGGGAGTACTAGGTTTGTTCGCTGTCTTCAGTTATTTATAAAAAAAATAAAGGCGGAATAATTTTTTTAAAAAAACACACAAACCTTGACTGTTTGGATCTGGAGTTCAGTGAAGTGTCTTTGCCATCCTCTCTAATATGGATGAAGATTATTTTGTCCTGTTCTCCAACCCACTATTTTTTCTTCTTGCCTATTCTGATTTAGAAAACAAATCATTGTCTGTCTTCAGTGAACAGAGATGGGGAGCCCACAGTGTTTACACTAGTGTGTGATAAAGAAGTAGCAAGAAAATTCATAGGTAAATTATTCACTGACTGCCAGGAGGACAGGAATGAGAGAAGGAATAAGGAATTGAGGATTAGTATCTCATTACACCTGAAGCTAGAATTGGTCAGAGGCGTCTCTGCTAAGGTGGGTCTTGAGGAAAAATGGTTCCTTCTGTATCCTCTGCTATGTTTTAGTTAACTTTGCTTAATTACTGATAATTTCATTTTTTTCAACTGCAGGGTGCCTCCTCCAGGTGGATCTTTTTCAGCTTATAACAGAGCAATTTCCTCAAAATGACTTCTCTTCTTCACAACAGCCAATTACAACCAAACATATAAAGGAAAAGAAAATAAGGCAGGTATCTGGTTTTTTAAACTTAAAAAGTTTAAGAACATCAGAGTCACAGAACAAGTCAAAGCATACAGATGAAAAAAAGCTGCATGTAAAATGTTGTTCTAGAATTGTGAAGAAAGAAGCTGCCTAGTGTGAAAAATGGTTGTATTGATATTATGACTTAGTTTAGTTTGCTGAATGTTTTGAGTATTTTCCTTTGTTCTGGTTTTCTCTTGATTAAAATCAAAAGCTCCATTCCTGTTGTTCTCTGTATGTTTGGAGTTTGGCATGTATTACTTGCTCATTTGCACTTTTAGCTTCCCAAGGTATTTGCTTCTGTACTTAAGAATTAAAAAACAGGTAGTCCTCACTTACCAATGGTAACTGGGACCAGGAACTAGCCAAATTAAATACATGTGTCAGCTGCTACTGGGGAAGACATAAAATTATTGTGGATGATTGACTTCTTCCTCCAGAGTTATAAGTTATAACTAACTTATAAATATAAATTGGATGCTGTGACAATTAAGTGGATATAGAGCTGATTCAAATGTAGTACTCAAAGATTGTTCATCTGTATTTCCTCATTGAATTGAAGAGAGGAATTAAAGACCTGGATGAAGAGGTGGAGTGAAAGGTTATCAAACTTACAGATGGGACATCAATGGCTGGGATAGAGGACACAAATACAGGTAGTCCTCAGATTACAACCAGTCATTCAGCAACCGTTCAGAGTTATGATGGAGCTGAATGAGTGGTGCTTACAATTGGTCCTTGAAGTTCTGGCTGTCACAGCACCCCTGCAGTCACAAGATCACAATTCAGGCACTTGGCAACCAGCTCTCACTTAACAGTGGTTGCAGCCTCCCGCAGTCATGTGATCACGATTTGCATGCTTTGCAGCTGGCTTTGGACAAGCAGAGTCAATGGAGAAGCCAGCAGTAAAATTGCAAGTCATGTGCTGTCTCACTTAACCTCAGGTGGTTGGCTTAATGACCTTGACGGAAGTGAGGCTGTAAGTCCATTGTGGTCACATGATGTCTAGTTTAATGACCAGATTGCTTAGTGATGGGTTGCCAATACCAACTGTGATAGGTAAGAGAGGACTACCTGTACTGTCTGGTTCAGGCTGTGATATTTTAGGAAGGGTTCAGAGCAGTTGGAACAGATTCAGAGGAAGGTAACAAGGATGAGCAGAAAACTTGAAACTTGTATGTCCCTCGTATGCCAGTTCACTGCATTTCACAATACAACAAAAAAATGTTAACAACCATCAGCCTCAGAACATCAGACAAAATAATAAACAGTTACAATAAGAAGCATAAAGAAGTAGCAGGAATGCTGGAAAAAATAACTGTAATCCAAAGAAACTGGAACAAATATATTAGAAAAAAACTGCTTGCACTTGCAATGGTGGGTGTCATCATGACTCAGAAGGGAAAGCATCATTCAGGCAAAATTTTCCACAAACAGGAAAATAAGTTTTGGGGACCCACTCCCTAGGAAAGGATAGCACAGGTCAGAAGGTGCTGATCAGAAAGTAGTTACAGTGTTTGTTTTCTGGAAATGAGGTTGCTGCCCGGTGGGGGAGGAAGCAACGGGGTGTGGTGGAGGGGGTGTGAGAGGTGCAGTGTAGGGAGGAGGTACAAGGATGGGAGGGAGGAGGGCAGGAGGGGGCGTGCAAGAGGCACTATACAGGTCAGAGATGGTGTGTGAGAGGCACCACGTGGGCCGGGGAGGATGCAGGGAGGTGCACGAGAGGCGCTGCATGGGTTGGGGATAGTTCATGAGAGGTGTGAGTTGGGGAGGGTCAGGGAAGGTGCATGAGGGGGTGCACAAGAGGTGCCGCACAGGTCAGGGAGGGTGTGCGAGAGGTGCCACGTGGGTCAGGGATGGTGCAAGGGTGTGTGTGAGTGGTGCAGTGTGGGTCGGGGAGGTGCATGAGAGGTGCCACACGGATTGGGGAGGGTGCAAGGGGGTGCATGAGAGGTGCGAGTTGGGGAGGGTGCAAGAAACACAGGTCAGGGAGGGGGTGCAAGAAACGCTGTGTGGGTTAGGGAGGGGGTGCAAGGGAAGTGCAGTGAAGGCTTGGGAGGGTGTACAGGGGTTCACAAGTGGCTACTGTGATGTAAGTGCACAGAGACTGGGGGAAGGTGTACAGGTGGGGGAGACACCCCAGCGGCTTACGACCTTCCCTGCTGACTTACCCATTGACTTTCTGGAGAAGCTGGCAGGGAAGTTTGCAAATGGTGATCATAATTGTGGGGGCTTGGCAACCTGTTGCAAGTGTTAACATGTTGCCAAGCACCCAGATTGCAATCACATGACTGTGGGGGTGCTGGGTCAGCCGGAGCTCTGAGGACTGGTCATAATAACTATTTGTTCAGTGCTGTTGTATCTTGGAATGGTCGCTGACTGAATGGTTGTAGGTTAAGGACTACCTGTACAGTATAAATCATTAATGAGTATAAAAAGAATTTGGAACTGACCTTGGAGAAGGTATGGGCGAGTCATTATGGAGGGACATGGACAAGAGATAATGGGGAAGTGTAAGAAAGTAACTCAGAACAATTCACCTTGATTTTGTTTAGTATAAGTTGGGACAGAGAGAAACTTGAATAGGTTTTCAAGATTCTGTTATTACAGGTAGTCCTCCTTACCAACAGTAATTGGGAATGGGAACTTCATTGCTAAGCAACGCAGTTGTAAGGCACAACATCACATGACTGCGCCGACATGACAGCAGTTTCAATTCCCATCATTAAGTGTCCCATGGTCACGTGATTGCCATTTGCAACCTCCTGCCAGATTCTCCATTGACTTTGCTTGTGAAGGGCGCAAATGGCAATTGTGACCACAGTACAGTACTGCGACATCGTAATTGCAAGTTGGTCCCCAAGTGCCCAAATTGCAGTTGTGTGACTGTGAGAACACTGTGACAGCCACAACTATGAGGACCCATTGTAAGTACCCCTTGTTCAGTGCCAGCATAACTTTGGTTGCTGAATGAGTGGACATTAAATGAGGACTACCTTTATACCTTAAGCAATAAAATAGAATTCCTGGAATCTCTGTGGAGTCTCTTTCTGGAACTAGCCTATCTTGACAATGAGAGAAGTTAAGTTATCCCTAAGTGAAGACTCATCTTCTTGTCAGTGAAACATGTTTCAGGGACTCACAATATGACTGAATTGGCTTGGCTCAGCTCACCAAAAAGCTTTAATTTGGAAAATCAGTGAGACTTGCATCACCAGTGAAATTCAGGCAAAATAGTTCCAAACATTTCCCCACATGGTAGAAGAGTTATAGACACCTTCAGGGCCTTATTCTGTGTCTTCCTTCCAATATCTAGCACTGTGTACTGGGCAGTAGGAATAACCTTGTGAACAAGAGGAAGAGCTGCAACCAAGACAATGGTCAGATAAAGAAATCTGAGTCCAGGGCAGAAATTTAATTTGAGAAAGCATCTCAGACATGACCCTCCCTCGTTCTCATGAAGATAAAGGGAGGGAAGCGGGAGGCACTTTTAGATTTCCAAGACTCTGTTACTGTAACCTTATAATAAAAGTAGTATTAGTATTCATAACTCTGGTTTCCTAGTCTGGTCTACCTTGAAGGGCTGGCACACTGCAAGAGTTTGTACTAGGTGTATCTTGAGAATGGGAATAGGAGGAGCAACCCAGTATAGGATACCTTTTGTCCATTACAGAAAAGGCATAATGATTCCAGTGTCCTGATCCTGCAGTCTGAATCTCAGCTGTATTTCTTTCTCCATATGTCTCTAGAACTGTACTCATGCTACTTTTCTATTTATTTTCTTCTCTTAGGCTTTATGCACAATTTTATTTTGAGGATGTGAAAATTCTTCATATTCCTGAAAAGAGAGTCAAAAAGAGTCCCACTATCTGTGAACAGACCTCCTCTGATGTGAAAGACAGTGGCAGCTCAACAGCTGATCTGAGACCCTCACTAAGAAAAGTTTCAAATGTGAGAATAGAAGAACCAGATACCAGGGAGCCAGAACATTTCAAGAACAGGACTGGGAAGATCACCTGTGTGTCTCGTCTATTTTTGCTGATTCAGAAGGAAGGACTTGCATGGCGCAACTATCTCCAGAATTCGGAAGGCAAGCCTGAAGATAAGCAGGCGATGCAACTCTGCTTTCAGGCCACAGTTTTATGGATGGGCAAACCTAAGCTATGCAACAGTCTTGGAGAACGTAAAGAGCAGGAAGAGCTCAGCATTAGTACTTTTGAAGAGTCCAGTGAAGCCCAGCAGAAGGTAAGGGTGGAGGGAAGTGGGGAAATGGCACATGATTGCATTCATTCAGAATGTTGCATTCCTCTTGTTCTTCCACAGTCATCATTGTTCAATCTCACCCTCAGTGCATGAGACCCAGAACAAACTAGATGACACCAATTCGTACTGTTTCACATATACTTTACCTTTTCATGCAGAATTAAACCTATACCTTAAAATCTATTAATCACCTCAAGATCAGACTGTCTTCAGTCAGATCTGTTAATCCTTGCCGTTGTTCTTAGTTCCAGAAATATACAGTACTGTGCAAAAGTTTTAGGCAGGTGTGAAAAAATGCTGTAAGGTAAGAATGCTTTCAAAAATATATATGGTAATTGCTTATGTTCAGCAATTTACGAAATGCAAAGTGAGCAAACAAAAGAGAAATCCAAATCAAAACAATTCATGCTCTTCATCATTTACTCTTCTTAACTTTTAAGTCATATATGTGAGTCGCCTTAAGTGGACCCATGGATATTGTCCTCTGCTGCTCGTCATGGTTTTGGTCAATTGAGACTTTCACAAAAGGTTTTTAGTTAGATACTAGGTCACCAGCCTTTGTTGTACCCATACAACATACAGCACTCCCTGCAAATAGTAAGGACAGTGCCAATCAGTTTTGGCACACTTTTATGTTATACCACAAGCCCAGTTTTACCCCAAGCATGCGCATGCTGTTCTATGCAAGCTAGAAACTCTAATCTAGAACATAACCTTGCACTGATGCCTGTATCTCACCACTGCACTCCTATTGTAAGAATTGGGATTCTTATGTTACGAGCTTTTCAAGTTATTCCCATTTCAGGTATTGTTACTGTTCCTGAGGAACTCTCTGCGCTGGTTCCCATTTCTACATACTGACCATCTGTACCAGCTCATTCTACCTCAGTGCATGGTAAGACTGAAGGAAACTAAAATTTATTGCTGGACTTTGCTGATATACTTGGAGAATAAAAATCAGTGATTGGGCCTTTTAGTCCAATTGCTTGTCTTTTAAAAAGCACATAATACTACTACAAGATTCCTTGTTGTAGGGGAGATGTCTGGAAATGAGGGGGAGGCCATTTTTAAAAATTCCCCCTTCCTCTTGTAATATTTCAGCTCATTTCCATGCCCCCCACCTGAAATTGCTTTTGATGGAGTCCCAGGAGGCTTCAGAATGAGAGGAAATTCCTTCTCTCTCTGGTTTTCCTTCATTCGTGTAACTATCAGAAACAATTGTACAAGCAGTTCGCATGTGCTTGCTCCTTTCTTTTTCTGAGGATGGGCTTCTGTCAAGGCAAAATTAAGTAGAAAAACCAACATAACATAAGTTGTCCACGGCATGAGTTAAATATTTCTATTGTTACCGGTTCTGAGTGTTAAATATATAAAAGGAAAATCTTCACTTGATTCTCTTACAATTGCTTATTTTTCTTTTACCTTTCATTAATATCAAGTTTTCTTCTTCAATTTTCTTCCATATAGTTGCTACCTTTTGGGAACTCATATGCTTTCTATTTTATGTACTATTGTATTAACCTACAAAGTGAAATACAACTAGGGAAAAATAGAATCACCCACTTTCCACTATTAATGGCATCTGTTAAACTGCATTGCAATCCAAGGCTTTCTTTTCTTTTTTCTTTTCCTCTTCATTTAACTGCTTTGCACCTTTTGTGCTATTTCTCAATTTCTTCTTAATTTCTTTCTTGCATCTTATTCCTCCTTTTAAAATAATCTTTAAATAATATTTGTTCCTCATTCTTTTCCAGGATGATCATTCTCTTATATGGTACCTGCTTCTTTTTAAAACTATTTTGCATAAGTCTTGCAGAATACTGTTTGATTCTTTGGTAAATCTCGGTTGTCTGTGGTTTTTCAGGATTTGGAAATTTTTGACAAAATGTGTTCCTCACTGGCTCCAGGAAACAAATTAAATTTGAGCTGTTCCTTCTTTCTGCCCTTCCCAGATGAGGCCTATGTGTATCATGTGAAGCAGATTTCTCAGGTAGGTTAATCTGTACTTCTGAGTTTCTGCTGGTCCTTGCCATTTTGGTTTTGATTTGGGAAGAAAATGAACTAACAGTGCCTACTACAGAGAATCCTAGACATGAACAATTAGTAGAAGTGAACAATTTTAATGCCATGTAAAATTGGGTTCATGAAGTGAGGACAGAGCAGTGGATGAATATATTTATTTTTTCTTTTTCAGCCCAAGTCAGACATGTTAGAAAGGGAACAAAAAATGTTCTCCATTGCAGAAATACTCAGTCTGAGGTAAATACGTTTTCTTCTCTTCTTGTTTACTGAGAGATTTAGTGTGAAAATTGTGGTTCCTAAGGAAATGAAATGGGCATGTGTTCTCATCGCTCTACTTCGATCTTTCTTTTTAAAAAGTCATCGTCTTCTGGTCTGCACTGTTATCTTGGCTAACAATATGATATAAATTCGTCCTGAAGCACAAGATGAGAGAATGTTGGAGAGGGGCACAAGGCACATCCAGGCTGCTTGTTCACACTAAACCTAGTTTTCAGTGCATGTGCTATATGAATGAGGAGCAAGAATAGCAGTGATATATATTGACCTCTTTATTGACCTCTTTCATGCAGTGGAAATTACACCTGTTATGTCCCCAAAGTCATTAATAAAAGTACAAATGGAACCACTGGAAAATTAATTACAATTGACAATAGGAGGATTTACATGTAACAATAATCTGGTGTAATTTAGCAAATCCCACTGTTCAATCTGACATCACTGTTCTCTTTGCATTAGCACATAAACCAAGGGTATGTGTTTGTCAGCCAGGATGATTCTCAGCAAGGTGAAGAACACATTTTGTCCAGTTAAAACAACTTATTTTTCTTGCTTTTTGAGTCACGAAATCATAATTTAGGGTTTGGCTATCTTTAATATATGGAGGTATAACATAATGGAGATTGTTGTGTATTCTCCCAGCAAATGCAGCCCTTGTTATTCTTTACAAAAACCAAAACTGAAGCACTCAACTAAAAAAAAACAAAACAGACCCCAATTAAGTGTTAACCTGCCCCCAGCTGTTTTTCCCTCCTTTTTTGCTGTTTCTGCTGGAAGGAGAGAAGACGTGTGTGTGTATGTGGGGGGGCGGGGACATGACATGTTCTTATGTGACAGCATGGTCTGTGTATATGAGAGAGAGAAAATATACACAAAGGAAGATCCATTTCATAAATGGGCTTTCTTAGTTTACAGCCAATTTTAACAAGTAGTTTTTAATTCATTACTATTTCTCTGGTCCTGTCTTTCCTTAGATAGCAAGTATATAAGCACACGTATACATATGAATATATACATATAACATACACACATATATTGGATAAGAAAGTGACATCTCCAGATTGGTTTCCGTTTGAGTTGGCAACTCTTTAAGTTGACACGGTAGGGAACTGGGAATTCCACAGGAATTTCATCTGTATTTATATTTTTTCTGTCTGCTTTTTCTTTAGAGAGGGCTTGGGTACATGTTCCTTGGAGGAAAATGTGTTTCTGTTTGGAATCTTTAAAGTTCCAGATAGTTTTGCTAAGGATATTTAAAAATCCACCTTTCTTTTATGAACATGTTTAATTATTGCGGCTGTCTTTGGAGGCTCTCCTGTATGTCCAGTAACAACTGAGATCTGTTTGCTTGGGAAAAAATAGAGGGCATTTTTACTATGTATTTCTAGATTTTGGAACTGGCATCCAAGAGAGGCCTGTCTAACTAATGACCTTCCAGAAATTGCTGCAGAACATAATTTTACAACAGGCATGATGAAAATGTTTTTAAATAAATGTATGGGCACAATTCAAAGTGATGATGATAACTAAAGCAATTAAGACTTATTGGCAGGCTATGAAAGACTGTACTTAGTTTTAAGATCTTTAGGAGAAGCCTTTCTCTCTGTCCCATGATTGTCAGGCAAACATTTGGCAAGAAAAGTCATTTTTCTTCAGATAGAGTGTTGGCATTTAAGAAGCCAGAATCTAGCACTTCTGGTGACGGAATGAAGTGGGCAGCAAGTTTAATCTTAAGCAATTGGTATACCAACTGTATCTGTTCTTTTTCAGCGTGTAAAACCAGGATACAGACAGTAATTTGAAACACCATTTAAGTTATTTATTGTTGGATTCAATTTTAATTTGGCAAATGCTGATATCTTCCTGATTTTATTTTATTTATCTTATTTTTAATCTAGGGCTCGTGTTTTTAATCTAGAGTCATGGTTGAAACTATAATATTATTTATACTTATTAGATTACCTTAATCTCTGTTTTTGGATGAAAAGTAGGATATACAGTAAGTTAAATAAATGTTCCCTCATCAGCTTCAAAGGCTCTCTGGTCTCTTTTTCTGGAGAAATAATGGAAAGGACTTTGTGTGACTCTCATTCTGGAAAGAAGTCAGAAACAGATGCCTGTGCTCAGAAGAAAGGTAACTGTTGGGAAGAGTGTAAGTATGATACCTTACAAGCATTACTGAGATGAGGCCCTTTATGTGTGGGTAAACTAGTCAGTCTACTCAGAACATATTGATGAGAATTACTCTACAAGAGGGAGGGAAAAATGCATTTTCTATAGACTAGAGCTAAAGTAGTGTTAGGGTCAATCTGACAGCAGAGTGATAACTGTTTTCTACGTATTTAGGTAGCCCCTTGCCCTGGAATTATACTGTGAAGCTGAGCATAGCATCTGCATTTGATTCTTCAGTTCTTCTGGATGTCTATATTCAAGCTGCTTTTGTGCCATATCTTTGGGGTTTGTTGCCTGGAGCTAGGATTTTGTTTCAGGATCTACAGTGCAAAATTTCCAGGTATGTCTTGATCCCAGAGGTATCGAAGCATCATGGCATTATTCATCATATATTATGGCATTATTCATATCTGCCTGCATGTCTTAGTAACATCCATTTCATCTTGTGATGCCCAGGGCCAGAGTTTGTTTATTTATATTTTTAGTTACAAACACACTGAATAGGTCCAGCCTCCCTGGAGTGGGAAGCAGCACCTGAGAACTCCAGGGCAACCAGAGAGTGATCTTTGTATATCCTTGTATATGCAAAAGATTCCTCTAAAGTTGTCTTCATCCCTCTCAGCTGTGCCTTGCATTAGCATTCATATGACAGGTACAGTCCATCTAAGTGAGGATGCAAACAACTTTATCTTTAAAATTCTGGTGAACATTACACAATGACAACCATACAACAAACAGCACACCACTCAGAGATAAATTGCTGGAATGGGGCCAACATAGAAAAGTTCTAAATAAATAACATGCTATTTCATTAAGGCTATCATTCCCCTAGAAAACAATCCTTAGCAATACCCTGATTAGAATCTAAGTAGCTCTGTGTAATTTCTAACACGTTTTCTTCTGTAGTTTTTTTATACAAATGCAGTGGATTGGAAGATGGGCTGCAAGCTAGACCAAGAACATTATGTACTGCAGGTTTTCAGGTTGCATACCTGCAGTAATGGAATTATTGGATTCTTGGATGTTCTTTAGATTAATATTAAGTAGAGGGGAGGGGCTCTTATGAAGTGCTTCCACATTATACTTTTCCAAGCCTTAATTGACATTAAGGGAAAATTTATGAATGTACTGTATATACAGGATTGCTTCAAAGGAGCAACACTGTTCCATTTTAGGCCTTACCACTTCCTGATTATTAATCCATAGGATTTTCTTCACTGCTATTAGTGAAAAGGGTTTATTGTATTGATCTTTGATTGCCAGACTATCACGTTGCAGTCTTAACTAATGTCTGTGTATTGGCCACCATTAGGGATGTCTACAGAATGGAAAATGTATTTTGTGGAGTCCTTGGGTTCTCTGAACTTGGTGGTTTTCTTGCAAATGTTTCATTACTAGAAGTGCTAGCACTGAAGATGTTACCTAGCCAGGTAACGAAATGTTTGCAAGAAAACAACCAAGCTCAGAGAACCCCAAGGACTCCACAGTTCAACCCTGAGCTGCATATAGTCTCTTCAAAAATGTGTTTTGTTTCACACACACAACATACTGTGGCTTAGAAGTCCAACCAGACTATTCTGGTCTGGTTCTGGTCTGACTGAACTGAAACTAGGAGCTCTTTGGTTGTTCTGGGTTTTGGCCAAGAGAAAATCTGGAGGGATCTTAGAGAGTGAGTCAAGCAAGTCCAGTGCATCTCATCCTTTTCTCCCTTCCCCTCATCGCCTGTGTCCTAGGCTGTCTAAACCTATCAGCACCTTCCTTCCTCCTATCTCCCCTTAGCTCCCACTGTCACTCTTGAATTCAAGTATGGCATACCTGACTCTCTCACTTGCTCCTCTCGCCAGTCTTTCTAGCACATTTCTTCTCCTGGACTACCACACTTAAATTCAAGCACAGGGTACCAAACTGTACCACCAGCTCCTTTCTCTGATCTTCTCAGTGATTTCGTCTCCCTTAACTCCCCTTACCCACTATGCACCACTGCCACTGATGGCCTAGCCTTTTCTCCACTGCCTCCCACCCCAGAACACACATGTGAATGTCTATTACTGGGCTAGAGACTTTGCCATCCCTATTGATCATAGGAGAGAATGTATATACCATTCCCATTCAGTTCACTCTGAATCCATGCAAGTCATGGGTTAAAGTTAATAGCCCAATTCATTTCAACTCTCTAAGCGCTGCATGTGAAAGGGTATTTGTTATATCTGTGGAGCTTGCCTGGATTAATGATTAAATTACTGACTACACACTCTTTTTATTTGCTTCTCCGTGGTCTTTCCCATTGGCTCGTCGATCTATCACATTTTATCTGTGTTAGAATTCAGAATCCATCTTTCTTCCTTACAGATTTGGAAACGTATACTGTATTTTCATTGCCTCTAGTGATGTGCGTGTTCTGATTCCTCCACCTCATAATTCTCCACAGTGAGTACCAACCTCAGGAGTTACCTTGAAAATTTTGTATGTATGTATCTCTTCCAACTGTATGTGGGATTTGATTAATGCATTCATTTTGTTCTTATTTATTTGCAGACATTTGGATTCCACCTCTAAGTTTTCATTAGGATATTTATCCAAAATACTGCTTCAACCTCTTGGTCAAGCACAAGTCACTTGCCATTTGATGTGTGTCCTATCTTTGTCCATGCGCTGGTTCTGTGACCTCTGCAACCACATTTCCACAGAGGTATCTAGTCAGCCATATTTGAATCTGGGAATTTGTGAGCTTGCTCTTTTCTTCACGTCAATTGCGGTACTGTATTGTTTCATTGTGTTGTATGAAGTAATGGATAGTCATTCAAACCTTCAGACCTGTAATCTGAAATGCAAGCGCCATATACATTTTTATACTAACAGTTGGCCTGATTTTTGTCAACATCCTTTTTCCTCCCCTCCAGGGAAGACCCAACGAATATAACACCTCTTGCTTGTCACATACAGGAATGATTAACGCTACAGCTAAGTATGTATTTGGAAATAAATGTATACATTTATCTAGAAAAACCTCTTCAACTAATCGTAAAAAGAGTATCTTCTATCACTGCTAATAATGAGCTCCTAAAGAAAAAGCTCCCATTATGTTGAGCTATAGATTTATGCAAGCATTTTATTCTCACTTGTATTGTCCCTATCTGAACAGCATATAGGAAAAAGCAATAATGCATGTTCAAATAATACAATGTAGAATGATAAATAGATTTGCCTCATTTTATCCAGATAAATATTTAATTCTCTAATCTGACAACTGTTCAGTGAATTAATTCTTTTTTGATCAAATATAGTTAAGATCAAAATTAGTAACTTAAGTTATTGTTTTATGCTATGCAGAATAGAACTACAGATACCCATCATTCTGGATCAGAATAATTTTGTGATATGATCATTTCAAACCTCTTTTTATCACAGATTTCTAGTAGAAGATGGAACAAGCGAGGTTGTGGTATTTTGCAAGAACCAGCAGGTGCAACAAATGTTGGGTTTGAGCCCCAAGGAATGGGAGGTCATTCAAAATCATATTCGGATTAAAGGAAGTATCTGCATTCAGCATAATGAAATTAGCACAGGAGCTAGGGTAAGTGGTTTATTTTGTTGTTACTTGAATTAAGTAATTTGCTAATTACTTGCATTAGGAATTTTTCCTAATGATTTTGAGTGTAAACCACAGCTAATTGTCTGATTTTGACAGATAGTAGACGAGTATGAAGATCTGCTCACACAGTATTTGAGAAACTTATGCAGAAGTCCAATTGTCTGTCGGTCCATAGTGATGGCTTTCAGAGTGGATAGGAAATCTTTTAAGGCAGGTAGGTAGTTATGTGCCCTCAGCTTTATCACTACACTATGTGCACATTTTCAGGAAAGAAACTAGATCTTTTTTTAAACAATTGATGGCAGATATTGAACTTAACTTTCCTGTGATATGTTGCCTCACTATAAGTAATACAGAGCTTATATTAAGGGTAGAGATCCCCTGATGTCTCACTATAGACCTTATCTTGCTACCTACAAATCCCAGAAGCTTCAAAATAGATGCTGAACAAAACACCTTGGGAAGCTTTCTGTATGCCAAATATTCCATACGCAGAGCGATATTAGTTTGATCTGCATCTGCTAGCAAGAATTGATCACACATGCAGCAATCAAAGTATTTGTTGACTGTCCTGAAACAGATTTAGAGGAACAATTCAAGGACGCTGGGAGGCTTATCTGTATTACAAAATGGTCCAGGAAAATTGTTCTCATAGTAATTGGAAAATCAACTGTTTGAAATTGAGAATATTGATTACTGTGTTTGAGGCTTATGGAATTGAAATCTAATCTGATGAAGGGCAGCAGGCTGGAGAAGACTGGTTTATGCAAATAAAGATAGGTATATTACAAAAATATTGTATGCTTCTGTTCAATAAATGTAGGCAAATATATTTCCTGGATTTTAAGAAAGCAGATTTTAATAAAGACAATGATAAGTAGGATCCCATTGCACATCTCCTTGACTGGGCAAGCATAAACACATGTCAACAATGGTTGCATTTGTTTGTTCCTCCGCTTACATTGATTTCCATGTGACCCTCTCCTTTTAAAAAAGTGAAGTATTTATGGTCTTCCCTCTTCACATTTTTGGAAGGGAAAGTTGCAAGCTAATTATATGAGGCACAAAAGTGGAGAGACTCAGATACAAGATTTGATAGAAAAGTGAGAAATTGATTATAGAGAGATTACAATATGAAAAACCAGGATTCCTGGTCAGTTATGACACTCTTCTGAATCACCTTAGCGTTGGAACTGCTACTTCTGTTCAAACAGACTGATTTGCTTTTCCTTTGAGTGCTTTGCCCACTCCTGTCCCTGTCATGACTCCTCCACACCCTCCCCCGCAAATCAGGAAAGACTATTTACATACCTAGGAGCTGGCTGAGATAGGGTACCGGTACTATTTTTAGTGAGAAAGAGATGGATTATAAAAGTTCTCTTTTTTTCATAGGGTCAGGACAATTGAGGAGATTTTTCTGTAACGAATTAGAGTTCTTAAGCCAGGTGAGGAATCGACCAAACTTGGTATGTCTTAAAATCCAGGAGACCACCTGAAGAATGGGAAGAGGAGAAAGCCTCATTCCTCTGGAGGAATTTGTGTAATTCTGCTTTGTGTATGTATTTGTTTTGGAGATATGATTCTAGTTAATAAGCCCAAGTGCAAAGGATATTGTTGCAGACATTAAAATGTGAACATTTATTAAAAAAATCTAGCTCTTGTTTTTCTTCTACTCAAATCAGTGCTGCCTTAATAGCTAAAAAAAGTTTGTTTCAACATTTTACTGAAGTCTATTTTGCTGCCATGATTTTACTCTTTCTGTACTGAGGGAAGTGGCATTTTATATAAGAGAAAATAGGGACTACTTTTTGCACATAGTACTAGAATTCACGAAAGGTATAACAGGTGATCAAGCAAAGGATACAGTTTCCTGTTCACCATTTCCCCTGTTTGCTTACACCAATTTGGCATTTATCCCAATTGCCTTTGCAGTGCTCTTTTCCTAACATGCTATTCCTTACAGTATATTGCTAATAAAATCCCCCAAAGCAGTCAGGAATCCATCTAGGTTTATTACATCCCAATTCACAGAAGTTAAAAGGGACCAGTACAGCCTAATTTGTATAATATTCTCTTAAGGCCATGAGAAGAGAGATCCATATATATCCACTCACCATAGAATTAACTGTCAAGGGAAAAAACCTTCATTCCAGAGGAGGAGGATAAGAAGTTTGGGAAATGCTGCCCTAATCTTTCAATGAAAAGCATTTCCATTATTCTTACAGATTCTGATTCCAAGGCATAAAGAATAACAAAATCCTAAAGCTGAGAGTAGACGCTTCTGTGTGATTGTTTAAATATATGTGATCCTGAATCTCAATATCTATGATAATTTCCAGTTTTAAGATAATAGTAGAATATAGCATTGAAGTGCTTAGGTAATGTAGGCAGAGTTTTTAAGTTTATTTGTTTTTATTACATTACTAACTTCAGCAATGTCTGTCTAGACACAGTGCACCAATTAAAAGGTTAGAAACCTTTACTCCACAATGAAGGACAAGAAAAGCATATTATCAACACAACTGTTTTCTTTAAGATTTGAACAAATATACATAAAGTCATAGATACAATGCCATTCTCCCCATCAGTTCCTCCTCTTTTGGAACCATAGAGATTGTAACATCATGAGCATCACTTTTTCTAACACTGACACAAAGATAAATTTTTATTCTTATCGAAAAATAAATTGCAGGGGGGATGGAACAAAACAGCATAATAATCTTATGTAAAATTATAGTAGTTAATCAGTTTCCTAGGCACAGAATGCTACAACATAATATAGTCAAGGATTTCAGCAAGACAGCTGAAGCAAAACAGCTTTGTGCTGATCATATATCGTGCTCTGTAAACACAGCACAAAGAAAATTAGCTTTCTGAATATAGAACTGAAAAGAATTTAAAATGCAGTTATTAAATTTAACTGGCATTGCCTAAAATGAGGGGGGGGGGAAACTAGCATGTTTCTGGTAGGCTCCAAACCTATATCAATTAGGTGCCACACTAGAAACAGAAGGACAATCACCTCTACAGCTGAAGTGGGCAGGTCTAGCAACCTTGCTTCCAGTTTTTATTGTATCATATTTATAATCATATAATACATTTACAAATGTGCAAGGAAATGTTCCAGAAAGGATTCACACTAATTTTGGCCAGTATGGTGTTTTGCAGCAATGTCACAAGGGCATTAAAAAAGTTTAATCAAGGAAACTTTAAGATGACCTTTCTCATTATTTAAATTGTACTTATATATGAGCATCAAGATCTGCTGTTAACATGCTATAAGAAAGCATCACTACCTGCAATGGTCTTTACAAGGCAGAGCCAAGAAAAAGAATTAGCAGCTTTGTAAAATTAAAGCTTTAGGTATTAACATTCTCTTCCTCAGCAAACTTAAAAACTTTTGAATGGCTATTCCATGGTTTTTCATTTTGAACTTGATCTGTGGGAGACAGAGTTTTTAGTGTTACACTTGCTCAAATAAGTATATGTACTGATCTAAATAGCAAACATTGCCAGAAATAAAATAAGGGTTGATCTTTTCTGGTCCATAATTTCCAAGCATAAAAAGCATAGAAAAAATAATTTAACAAGCTGCATATACATTCAAAAGGCATACCATTACATTTCCTCAAATAACAATGGTTGAATATAGATTGCTGTTGGGAATCATTTTTGCCCATCAGTTTTAATCCTGAAGTTTTTTCAGCACATTAAGAAGAATGGGGAAGAGCTTTGTACCAAAATATTTTGATCTATAATCCTATAGCTATAATTATAGAGGCAACAGCAGCATTAAAGAATAAGTAAAACTACCTTTGAAGCATCATGCATGACATCATGCAGTAGAAAACTGGTTCAACTGCCTTTTTCCTCCCTGAAGAAATCTATATTTTGACAACCTTAATTCTCTTCCAAAGAGAGAAACAGCTGAAGGGTCAAATCTGGTGAGAAGACTTTACGCCTTACTGGGACTTTGACAAAGACACACACAACTATCAAACTAAATAGGAATGTTTTTCAAGATATAAGTAATCTTCAACACAATGTATATCTTTATCTTCTACTGGAAAAAAAGAAATGAGAAACACTGAAGTAGGAACTTCTAGTCCTCCAAGCTGCGGAATGCATTCTGCATGTCTTCAAACAGCTGGGCATAGTCTGCTTTGATCTTTGCCTCTCCATCTTTCGCTGGGTCCTGAAATTCAACAGAACAAAACTGGATAATCACCGAAGAGGTTTAGAAAGACAGCAATTTCTCAGAAGTTGCCATGAATATCTTGTAATTGGAGAATCTCCATCAACAGTGCAGAGGGAACTGGTCCTTTGGTGTGTGCAATGGGACCCACTTCTGTTCCATGTAGTAAATCAAAACAGCCAATGCACAACCCCAATTGATAAGCACAGTTACTAATCTATTTTCTTTCTTTCACTTCTATCATAATATCAAATAGCAATCTGCATGTGTACAAAGTTTCACATTCAAAAAGAAATTGGAATTGTGAGATGCTCCATTCTTCCTCTGAGTCCAGAGGTGATACGAAAGACCTAGCTGCTTTCCTTTGTACATAAACTGCCCAGGCACCAGAAGATGGATCAAAGGCAGAAGCAGACTTTAAGAAGGATGTCTGCAGCCAATCAATGCAGACCATGTAGCAGTTTTCTGGCATGGTAATAAGAAAACAAGATCATCCATTTTGCTTTATCAGCAGCTCACGTTACAGAAAAGCAGGTGTTTCACCATTCTTGCTAAATCACATTACAAGACCAAAACTACCTAGAACTACCATTAGTTTCCTATTAATAATATATCAAAGTATCTGTAATACTTCTGTGAATATATCTAACAAAGGGCTACAATTTAATTTAAAAAATGATTCTCTGTCAACCCTGTTTAATAAAAGAACTGATTTGGAGCAGGATTAGTAGTGGTCATAAATTTTGAGGAAAACAGGCAATTAGATTAATAGGATATTAAAGGAACAACTTATATTTGTTTGATTGCTTTGGGAGATGAATGATGGCAATTAAGGTTGAGAAACTGCTTGATATACAGTGGTGCTTAAAAGTTTGTGAACCTTTTTGAATTTTCAATATTTTTACATAAATATGACCAAAATGTGATCAGTCCTCCACACAAGTGTAGCAGCTATGCAGTCTTGGAATCAGTCATATCATAGGTAGGTGCTGTGTTTGCACTCATACCAATTACAAAGCACTCGTCTTGTACTGAACTGGAACCACTGCATAGCCATAGACAGTACCCTTTTGCATTGATTTAAATACAAATATATGAAAGGAGGATCAAAAATAAACTCCACCCTATCACTTTTTTTTTTTTGAAAATCAAATACCTACTACATATTGCTTTGTTATAATCCTAATGCAGAATACATACCTTGAATTTCATAGAGGTGAGTCGATAGAGGATTTCACTCATGTTCTCTTTGATAATGGACCATGTAATCTTATTGTCACTTTGGGCAGTAGTCTCAACTGCTCGGCGTGCCATATCATAAAATGCAATCATGTTGGATAGTATCCCCACAGTCTTATAAAATGGGCAGTACCTAATGGAAACAGTACAAAAACTCACCTTTCTCAGAATTAAGAGAAACTCATTAATGACTAAATTGTGCAAATAGGTTAGCAAATATTTATGTGTGGTAACTAACAAATGTGGAAGAGGTGACAGACATGAAGCAATTGGCTACAGAATTCAACTTTCTATAGTGGACAATGCATTACTGAAACTCTCAGAAGATAAAGTAGAGGAAGTTTTCCATGGGCTGAATAAGCAACTTTGGTATTTCATTTTTTTTAATCATCGTAGTTATCCTCAGTTCAGTAATTCTGAACTGAGAACAGCATTCTCAGGTTGTAAAACAATTTACTTACTTGTGAATAATTCTGCTTTATCAGTAGAGGCACTACCTAGACACACTTAACTGAAGGAGGACTAGATTAGGAGTTACTTCCACATAACTAGTATTTGCAGTCACGCTCCAAGGCCTGATTGCAATCAGAATAAGAATTTAGAACAGTATCCCAAATAAGCACAAAGGGACCCACTGACAAAAAAGAAATGGCACAAGGTTCTAACATCTGAGAGGTTTGGAAGAGACTGTAGCATGCACTGATACACACTTCAACGAAAGGCCAATTCTCAGGAGATGTGAAATATGAATGCTGCACTATTTGGTGAAGATACTGCGGGTGAACAAAACTGGTATTTTTGCCCTTAGTTCCACTTGGTTCCTTCCCCTTAGTTACTTTAGAGCAAATGAAGTAGCAGCAATTCTGAGAATATACTAGGCTCTCACACCTCCAACTGAGGACTTGCCCTTTTTTGCACTTTCAGCTAATTGGAGAGTTGAGAGTAACTGATGAAGAAGAGAACTGGATACAGCATAATTGGATCTTCAGCACTTTTGCATCAAAGCACTGCTTGGTATAATATTCAGGACAGAAGAATCAGCTCTTATTCATGTGAAATGTGAGTTAAACTTTTAAAGAATGCAATAAAATTATGTAAAATAATTATAGTAGCTGTAGTACAAATAGCAGTGGCAATCACCGACATTTGCGCTAAACGTCAACCATAGGTAGGATGGATACAATGATAGCACAGAATTGAACAACCTGGAAATATATGTCAGGGTCCTGGCCAGATAAAAGCAGTGCTGGATATTGTGCTCTCTACTAGGGTAGTTCTTTAAAATAGGATAAATATATATCTTCCTTGATTCTCTATAGAGAGAGCAACAAATGAGCATCTGGCTTAGGGATTCCACAGAGCCAACTCCACATGGACATAAGCACCACTGAAAAGGGATGTTTTTATACCATCCCCACAGAACTGCAAAGGCTAGAACATCCAGCCTGGCCAAGGTGAAACCCCAACAAAATTTCAGAATTAGAATTGAAGAGAGATAATGCCCATTTGAGAAGAATCCATAAACTGAAGGGTTGGATACTAGGCTTAGACTTGAAAATCAATATCCCAGATATGTTGTTTAAGATGACTTCTGACATTTTCAAGCCCTAATGGACAAAGACTTTACAAAGAAAGTCCTAAGGACTGAAGTTTGCTATTAGCTTTCATTAGCCAGGTTGATTTAAAACAGACTCTGAGGAGCAGTGGATCCAAACCCACAGGGGAAAAAATCAATTTCAACCAGAAATTAAGGAGACAGAACCAAGCTCTGGCACCCACAGAAATCAAGCCCATCTCTAACCATAAAACAGCATTCTTGATGCATCTTGGAACTGCAAGTATTGCTCTTATAAATTTGGACTGAACAGTTTCCAGGACATTAAACTTTGTAAAAATGCAAATTGGAACACCATAAAGAAGCTGAGAGATGACCTTAGCAAGAAAACCTTGCAAGCTGCAGTAATAAAAGGTGCCCCCTTTGAATAGAAGAATCTTAAGACAGCCGTGGACCTATGTTGGGCCACACTTGCCCAGTAAGAGAAATGTGCACTCCAAAATAAGGAAGCCTGGAACTGCACCCCAAGATATTTATAAGTACATATCTGCTCTATTATGGTCCCATTAATTTGCCATTTATGTGACCTACTGTAAACCAGCACTTTAGTTTTTTGATAATTTACTACAAGTTGTTCTTTTAGGCAAAAGGAAGCCAACGCCCTCAACGCTCTTCTCATTCCCAGCTGGGAGATTACTGAGATTTGTCATCCCAGACAAAATTACTACATCATCTGCATATAACAAGGCTGGAATTGCAAGATCTGCTAACATTGGAGAGTAATGATTAGAAGATGAGAGAGCCTGAATTATTGAACTGATGTACAAATTAAAAAGGGGCTAGAATACACCCTTGCCTTACCCCTCTTTTGGTGGAAACAGCTCCAGAAAGGTGCCCCTAAGGGGAACATCTGACTCTCAGTGAGGTGCTAGAATAAAGAGTCTGGATAAGAAGGAACAATGTTTTGACCACTGAGGATTCCTGAAGTTTTTGCCATAGCCTCTCCCTTGGAATCAGATCAAAAGCTGATTTAAAATCCACAAAAGCTGCAAAAAGGGCGCCTTTGGGTGGGGAAGTGTATTTTTCACCTAAATGGTACAAGACCAGACAGTGGTCTAATGTTGAACAGTCCCCTCTAAATTCCGCCTGTTTCTCAACAAGAATATTTTCACTTTGGACCCAATCCAACAGTGTCAAATAAAGATACCTTGCATATAGTCTGCTTATTGTATTAAGAAACTAACTGGTATATAGGGTTAAGTCTATTTCCTGTATTCTTATAGAGAGGGATAACTATGGCCTCATTCCACTCAGATGGAAAACATGCTGTGCTATTAATATAAGTAAAAAGAGTAGCCAGCACTGGGCCCCACCAATCTTTATTTTCTTTTAGCAACTCTAGAGGGATGAAATCACCTCCAGGAACTTTCCCAGTTTTCAGTTGTACAGTGAGATCCTTAGCCTTGGCTATAGACACAGGAGGCCATTCAGGAGAAGTTACCATTGGGTGGGGTGGGGAACCACCACTGGATTACTTAATAATTTGGATTAAAAATGTTCTGAAAGTAACTCTCCCAAATATTTACACGTATTTGGCAAATGGGACCTAAGTGACTACCCATAGGAGAACAGTTAAGTATTATCTTTCCCTCTGACATTTAATTCCAAGGTTTAATAACAACAACACCGAGAAGCAGTAGCAGTTCTTAATTAACTTGTCTGAAAGACTGATTGTTGAGTGTCAATTGAAACAGCTCTGCTTCTCAGTCTCAGAGGTCAAGAACAGGAAAGTTGGGTGGTCTGAAGATGCAAAATAAAATGCTGCAGCCAAACTGCGTGGCAAAGGAAGGCAGCATCCAGAGGTGAGGGTGGAAGGTGGCAAAATGCAGCAAGGGGGTCTGGGGATGAGGAGGGTGAGTATCTTATCAGGTACTGTCTTATCCAGTATGACTCTGCCCTCCCATCCACCAGTACAGCCATCAAGAGAAGATCTGCTGAAGGTCCTACCCCCACAAGGGAGAAGAGACAGGAAGACAGGCTTCCTCTGTGGTTGCCCCCACTTTGTGGAACCTTTTGCACTTTCAAGTGTACTTTGTTCATGTGCTCTGGCATCTGATGCCCAAAAATAATTTTTGAGAGCCTTTATATTTTTAACAAATTATGTTCTGTAGCTAGTTTTATGGGGTTGTTGATTTTAGGCTGTGTCCACTGAGTCTTGCAAGAGGTTATATGAAAATGCTGAAAATAAATAAAATACCACTTAAAAAATACCTAGAAAAACTACCAGGCGTGAAAACATACAACTATCCTAAATAATATCATACTTCAATTAAACAGAGATGCAGTTATTTCAGTGTGTGTAAAGGCATCTGAACACATTACCAAGGTTTTTTTATTTATTGTACAGTATTCTTTACAAGTGCTCTTTAAAAAAAAGTGGATCTCATGGTTCAGCAGTAAATCACAATGCTTGTTATTAAGCTGTCTTGAAGAAAGCTCAGAGTTTGACATGGATTCCTGAACAAAAAGAGTGGGGCAAAAACTAAGTTCAATTTTATTTAAACTGAAATTTAACAAGCATTATTTAAATACAGTCAATATGACTACTTTTCCATGTATTTATCATTGTTGTTTTTTCACATTAGAGATTTGATTTTTTTTAAGAGGTTCCAGTGCTGTAGATTAACATCTTTGTTTTAAAGCATTTTAATTGTTGATTTTATTTGTTAGCTGCTTCAGGAGCCCCTTAACATCTGAAGAATGAATGTAATTCCTCTAGATAGAATTTAACACACCAAAATATTCCAGATACAGAATACGTCTGAAGACAAAAGTGGACAGAAAAGAGCCTCTATGGAAAGCTGAGCAGAGTAGTAACTGTCATTAACAACAGCAAACAGTTTCAAAGCAGCTTCCATAATGCCATAGAAACTGTGATGATACTTTACAAAATAAAGTAAGAAACCAAAATTCTAAGCCCCCTTTTGCCAAGACAGAATTGTCTATTTCATTTCAAAAGCATCGATTTCTGGGAAATCAAACAAAAAATATCTGACACTGCAATATAGGAGATCATCCCTGCAAATGATCTGTGGGGAAAGCAAGGGAGGTGGGTGCTCCATTGTGCAGTCCTACCCGAGCAGTCCCTGCAGACAGAATTTCCCACCCAAAAAGTCCATTTCCCCATGGCATACCTGTCATATGAGGTATAACCATTCTGTTGCAGGAAATCGTCTTTAATGAGCTTGGCAACTTCCAGTGTGATTTTGTCTGTTTCTGCCAAAGAAGCCTAAAGTGAGAGAAAACAAGGTATTTTCTGAATAATTGGCCAATAACTGGCCAATCTAAAATTTAAGAACTGGTTGTTATGAATACATCATGGGAACTTTCACAAAAAACATTTCCTTAGTTTTTTACTTACTCAGACATCTCTCCCAGCCAGTGTGAGAAAAAAAGCTGCTGTAATATTAATTCCAAAAATCACTTTTCTCAATCATACAACTATTACAGCTTGCTTCTGATAGTTGTTGTGCCTCCAGTGGTGTTCTTCACGGCTTCTCCTTAATTCAGGGATGGGCAACCCATGAGCTGCAATGCAACCCCTTCCTTCCAGCATCCTAAGAGAGCACTACTAAAATTCAGCAGCAAAATGGCCAATATCGGCGCTGCATTTTTTTTTTTACTTTTTATTCAACATTTAGGTAAGAATGGGAGCAACACTATGATACCCATTCTTAAATATCCCAAAATAGTTACTTTGGGGATAAATTCAGCCTAGTTTTAGCATTGGGGCAGGATTTAAGGATAGATACAGGAACAGGAGGTTGTTGGAGACAAACTACATTGAACCTCCCCAAAATGTACAAAAATTGATCTGAAAAATGGCCATTTTGAACCATGATGAGGTACAAGGGTGGGAATGGGAATACTTCGCTAGTCTTGTCCCCTTTGGTGACATCACAAACAGATCATCTGCAATTCACTGGAGGGCTGGGAATATGAATTTGCTCACATTGCCACAACTTCCACTTCTATTTTGCCTAAGGACCTGCTTGATTAGGACTGCATTGCTTTAGATTATGTATAGCACTACTAACATTATGCAAATGTTTTTAAAATAGTAAAAACATCCTGTCTCCAATATCGTGAAACTACCACTGACACAAATACACAAGGCACCATCTCTGCTCCAAATGCATTTTCTTAAATCTCATCTGCAACTATCTTGTCTGATACTACCCCATATTATGTTTTTCAAAAGTTGCCAATTGGTATAGTTTTTATATTTAACTTGTTCATACATTCCTTTGGAATTATTTTTTTTAATAAAAAAGGTAGAACATTTTATAACTAACCAAATAATAAGAGCAATGTTCCTTCACTCACCTTCCCTACCAACTGTACAATCTCGGCAAGATCCTCCTCTTCCTGCAGTATCTCTTTTGATTTAGTCCTCAAGGGGACAAACTCAGGGAAATGCTTGTCATAGTATTCATCCAAAGCACGTGTGTATTTGCTGTAGCTAATGAGCCAATTCACAGATGGGAAATGTTTACGCTGAGCAAGCTTCTTATCCAAGCCCCAGAACACCTGCCCCAGAAGTAATAAACAAAATGTCATGAGAATTCCTAATTCATCCTACAGAAGTAATTAATGGAACTATATTTGCTTTAGAGTACTTCTTCAAGGGCAAGGCTGCATTGATAAGGGTTCACACTTGAACCTTAAAACCATCCTATAATCTGAGTAAGTTAAGTTCTGAGAGTACAGTTTGAGTAAGGCCAGCCAGCGAGTTTCACGGCTGAAAAGGAAAGGAGATACTTTGTTATGTCCAGACCATTAACATGTGTCTAATAATTGAAAAGGATAATTTTTACACTGACAGCATAGCACAAAAAGATGCATGACAGGCTCCCAAATTATAACTCAACTATTACAGGTTGTCCTCTGTGGATGAGATCCAAGTAAACCAAGAAATCTTCAAATGATCTTAACTCCATTCTCTCCAATACTGAATTTCCTTTCTGAGTCTCCATATCAAGAGCCATGTGTTCCATAGACAAGCAAGCAGAAAGCTCTGTGGATGTGCACATATGATTTGCTGCTGCATTCAAGGGACTGCAAATACTAATCCAAAATTCTGATTTAGCAGAGGGCATCTTTGAACTACTGAAGTATGGACAATGAAATTCAAGAATAAAGCAACATATATTTTTGAACCTGTTCTTCCTAAATCTGCATGGAACAACTGGATAATGAATTTGCTCTGATCTAGGCAAGGGTTTATCAAATGGTGTTCTGTGGAATCCTAAAGTTCCCCAAGAACTTGAGGAGTTCCATGAGGGAGTAAGAGGGGGGGAAAGTTCACTCAAACATAGCCAATTTTTTATCACTAGAGTTTTGCCTCTTGAGCAGAGATTCTGGGACTTTTTTTTTTTAACAAACAGATTCTATAGCCTGAAAACCTTTGGCAAGCCCTGAACTAGACTGTCACAGAATTCATTTAAATTCTCTGTTTAGCTGCCTTGTTTGAACCCTGAAGCTATAGATACCTGCAGGTACTGTAGATGTTTAAAAAAACTTGTGGTAATCAAGAAGCACCGTTATGTTTCAGTTTAAAACTTTAAAGCTCTTTAACACAGTCTGGAAATTTCCAGAAGACCAATTAACACTTCCTGTTAATTTCTGCTGCAGTCTCAGAGTCCATCTTAAAGGGAATCAAGAATCAGAGAACCCAAGACATACTTCCTTTGCTTTTTACTTGGTTTCATAAATGGCAAATAAGTCTTCCTTCATTAATTCAATAAAAAGATTAGGATCAGACAAATTGTCAGGTTTCTTCCTGATCAATGCTGGAACTAAACGCCTTGCAAACAAGTTATCCAACGGTAAGTTCTTGATGTCAGATTTATTGCAAGAACTACCTCATATGTGTTGTTGTGGGACAATAATGGTGCACAATTTAAAATGATATCCTACATTCCAGGTTTACATACTCACACACACACACACAGTAAAATTCCTTTCAACCTTCATTGAAAGAACAAATGGCAGGAGAAAAGAAAGGGTAAAAATAAAATCAAAACAGAGTAAGATCAAGGTGAGGTAAGAGGAATGTATATACACACACATACAGACACTCACATATATATGACAGAGAACATTCATCACAGAATATGTACATATTCCTGGCAGGGGAGTAGACCCTGCAGACAGC